GGTCTCATGAGACTCCCCAAAAGCAGACTGAGGTGTTTCCCTATCTGGCATTTTTATTTTTATTGGTTGTTCACAACATTACAAAGCTCTTGACATATTGTATTTCATACATTAGATTGAAGAGGGTTATGAACTCCCAATTTTACCCCAAATGCAGATTTTTGAGAGTCTCAAAAAGTTACCCAGACGGGTCTCCGACTTTTTGATCTCCCTAGTAGCTTGTGTTAAAAGGTATGCACCACCATGCCTTGCTGACTGATGTACATAGGTAAGAAGAATGAAGGGAGAAAGTTATAAGTATGGACCTATTTATTTGACTCACGAATAGCAAAACAAGTTGTAGAAGGTGGCTGGCTATAGACCTTAACCTCAATATCTGGAAACTGAACTCAGGGTTGCTTAACCATTGAAACACATCCCAACCCCTCTGTATCTTGGAACAGTCTGTAAATTGCTGAAGCTGGCTTTGAACTTGCCATCTTGCCTGACACCCAGCCACAGAATGCATAAGATTTTCAGACTTGGAAAGTGCTTTTCTTAGTCTTTTGCTTTCATTTATCAAAGGGTTAAAAAGATAGTTTTGTGCAGCAGAAATGACACGGGCCTTGGGGTCAGACTTCCATCACATTTACCTGAAGCCACGTTTCCACGTTGTGATATTATGGGCCTGCCAGTAATGACCCCTGTCCCTAAATTACCAATTAGTTAGATTTGAGCTCAAGTTCAGTGTTGACACTTTAGACCAGTTTTGTTGAGGGTGGAGCTCAAGAACTATCATGTTTCTCAGAATCAGCTTTGGCTCACTTAATTTTAAAATACCATTTTAACTCCAACTTGTTTTCAAGCCAAGATTATTCCATTATGGACCTGGCTGTAATTCCAGCAGCTCAGGAAGCTGAGACAGGAGTATCCCAACTTCAAGCTCAGCCTGGGCAACTTGGTGAGACGCTGTCTCAGAAGATCAAAGGGTTGGGGATATGGCTTAAGAGTTCAATCCCTGATACCAAAGAGGGGCACCCCTTATGCTCCATGGTCCAACCCCAAATCTGAATCCAAGTATGAGGGCTTAAAAGTTCAAGGTACCTAACTTATTTGGCAGGTAAAATTTAGCACATTTAGTAAAAAACTGAACAAATTCTAGAAGTATTTGCCACAAAAAGGAATCCAAACAAGTGGCAATTGGGGGGGGGGGTCTTGAAGGAACCTGTGCTTTAAGTATTTGGGTATTAGAAACTGCTGCTTTATAATTGTTACCACACATTATCAGCAATGCCCCCCCCATCTTAATCTAATTCCTAGAGGAGTAGGCTTGTTTGAGGGTAACATGCGTTCTTTATCAATATAAACAAGTCTCTTTTTATGTGAAAATTCACTGCAGATCATGTATTCATGTGAGAGTAGAGGGAAACAGGAGGCAAAGGGGGGTAAAAAAGGACAATCATCAAGAGTGTGCAATTTTTACTTTAATATGAACCAAGGCATTTTGTCTTTTCCAGTAGATTTGAGCCAAAGCAGCAAACATGGATGGAAATACAATTGAGTTATCATGTATCATGACTTTGAGACTCCTGTCCTTTATTATTTCATCCTACAGAATCTTCCCACAATGGCCCCAAACCATATGAACCTGTTTTTTAAAAGGTCCATGTGAAATGGACAGTGGCTGGCTTCCTTTAAAAAGCAATGTTACTGAAAACTATCATTTCTCATTTTGTAAGACTTTTTGGGGGGGTGGCACTGGGTTCTGAAACTCTAGATTTGTTTATAAGAAATGTCAGTAAAATTTAAATGTCTTGTCTCTCCCAAAAGCCCTAAGAGACAGAATTAAATTAAGAGTGACAGACATCCCAGTTAAATATAAAACCAATGAATGGAGGAAAGCATTATCGAGACAAAAATTCAGCTCTCCAGATTCCCAATTTGTCCCATCACACCAAGATGATGTGATAGTACAGGCCCAGTGTACTCCTATGTTCCTATTAACATGAAAGGTTAACAATTGATATTCTTTTAGTTAGCAAGTCTTGCTGTTTCACAAGTTACATTGCTTTTATACTCAGTGATAGTCAAGTTTAATAATCTCATTTTAAGAGCTCATATACAATGTACACTCATTTTCCTAAACAGCCAATTGCTGAGGGCCTTCTGGCCAAATTTTCAAGGTTTTCAAATTAAAAGACATAATCAAAGGCAATGTAAACTGATTCAAGTTGCTGAATAGCACATATTCTAGTTTAATCCCTTTATAACAGAATACTATTCACATTATAATCTTGCCAGGTCACCCTGGACTAATACATTTTCTTGTTCAATCTAGGTTCTTTTCTATTTTATCCTAGCCCTTTAAGCTCCTAGGAATTTTAGATGTTGAAAACATTCCCTGTGCACGGGATTCGATATTATATGGTTCATTTGGATCTGTTGTGGCTGGACTTGGACATTTTTTGTTAACTAGTGAGTATATTTATTTCTCTGTATAAAAACATTTCTTTGAGCAGTTTTTCAAGATGGATTAACTAGTCTATAAGGCATGCATGTATGATTATATTCTAGTGGTGATGCTTATTTTTGACAGGTAGAATTAGAAGATCATGTGATGTTGCAGTGGGAGGATTTATCTTGGTGACTTTAGGATGCTGGTATGTTTACTAAGTATTCCTGAAATTCCATGATTTTAACAGGTTACCTAAAATTCAAATGCACACTCTTCAGAGAAATATCAAAGATTCCAGAAGTCATTAAAGACTCTTTATTTTTAAGGGAAATCTGCCTTACAAAACAATACTGCTTTTGCCTTTGCAAAAAGCAATCTGCAAAAAGCAATCTGTTAACTATCACCGTTTGTTGAATGCCTGAACAGATTTAATAAGGCCTCAACTATTCCCAGTGGTTTCTTGTCCCTTATTCTTCATAGGTATGTGTACAACTAGTATTCTGACTCCAAACTACCCCCAAACACTCCAAATTAGACTATTTGTAATTTTGTCTTGGGTAGTCACCTGTAAGCATTTTGAAATTGTGTTATGTGTTATATATAGTTAAATTCCTAAAGAAATTTATCTTTTCTTACAAGGTTTCCCTGTAGGTATAATCATGCAAAGCAAAGAATCCAGGAAAGAATTGCCAGAGAAGGAATTAAAAACCAGATTTTATATGAAAGCACCCACCTTGATCCTCAAAGAAAACAAATCAGCAGCAGCAGCAGCAGCAACTGAACAACTCTGAGCATAAAAATTCAAAACATCTCCCTCAAGTCAGTGTGAGCATTGGGACCAGCCACATATTATGTACAATAAAACTCAAATAAATTATGTGTAAATTGCAGTCTTTTTCTTTACTTGTATGAAAACTTCCAATATAATCTGGCCCTTACCTACTGCCAACATGGTATTCCTAGGTAATGTGTCTTATATAGTAGGTGTAGTGGGTATATCACCTCTAAAACAGAATTTATTGGCAGTGTGTAAGTAACAAATTTAAGTAATAGAATCTTGGATTACAGACTTGCCTAAAAAAAAAAAACGAAACTCCCGATCTGATCTCTCAACTGCTCATCACAATTTCTAAGTGAAATTTTTTAATTTAAGCACATGTTATATATGAAAATATTTCAGTTAAAAAAGCTGGTGTGGAAAAAGAATAGCGGAATCATACATTTATAGACAATCCGGTTAAAATCAGTGACCATTAAAAATCTACCCCCCCAATATTTACTTATCCAGGAGAAAACTCCCTTTCTTATGGAATGAAGCTATTTATTTTTGGTGTCAACATTACTTAAAAAAATCTGTTAAGATGGATACAGTACATCTGTAGTCATAGCTATTCAGAAGACTTATGCAGAAAAAACAAGCCCAGGAATTTAAGACCAGCCTGCTCAACATGGCAAGACCCTGTCGGGAGGAAAAATACCTATTTAAGTGACAGTTTCTTTAAATACAAAAGAAACATGGGGGTGACTTGGAGGGGGAGACACCAGTGAACTCAGATGTCTTTAAAGTATTAGTTATCTTGTTCTACATTCTTTTTCAAAGGAAAGGTGTAATTACTCTAGTTCTGTTCAGAAAGATTTCCCCCCTCCCTCCCCACCTTGTGGCTATCACGGTTACAGTGGTTAGGGTGCAGAGGCTATGTGATGTCAAACACATTCTAAGGAGGACTTGGATAATTAATAAAGGAAAGTTACTGGAAAGGAGCTTGTAAAATCGGACCACTTCAATGCCTTTCTGATCTACCTCCATAAATCTGGCACAAACCAACATTCTACATTATTTGAACTGGCTATGACCAAATTGTTAAAAATTCAGTGATGAGTTCCCCATGTTTTTAAGATGAACACTAATCAATAATCTGATATTTAACAAACTGGGTGGGCAGCTATTTATGCTCACAGCTTCAGTTTACTAACATATATAACCTGTATAATTGGGCAGCTGGATTAAGTCAAGTCCTAGTTCTATCATACTTCAATTACATCTTACCCTGAAAGAGAAACCTCCATTGGTAAAATTTCCAATGACTTCACCATTAAATAAGGTCAGTTCATTCACAGCAGAATGCCTGCACAAACTGGAGACCTGGATTAAAAACAAAGTTATATTTAATTTAGTTGAATTACTTTCAAAATGCTATTACGTACATTTACATGATCATTGTTCTTCTTGAACTACTAAAATGTTACAAAATGGTCCTGACACTTCTACTTCAATGATCTTCAAATCCTAACTGAAGTTTTGCCAAATCTGTCACACTGACCATTACAAATTAATCCATGCCTCTAATCAGAAATTTTTCACTTTCAATGCCTTTCTGATCTACCTCCTTAACTTTCTGATTTTCTTTCATTTGCTTACACCATCTGGGAATCATAGTCATTTTTTCCTTTAGCTTTTCACATATTTTGTGCTTTCATTCTTGCAGTAGGCACTTTCACTGTGTCACTGGTATGTGCTACAGTGTTTCCTATTACATTCCTAACATATATGGCACAAAAAAGTAAATGAACTAATAAGTGTTCACTAATAGGTAGGATTCAAGATTTATAGTGGATCCACTTTCACACACTGCAAATTTTATTAAACTCAAAACAACCTACCTTCCACGCCCACTTGGGAGCGTCCAGCGACCTCCATTGCTCCGAAATTCCAAAATTTCATACTAGGTGATATAGCAGTGGGTACCAGCTAAATAGCTGATTAAAATAGAATTACAGTTATTAGTTTTGAAAATTTTTCATAGCTTATCTATTATACTTGCTTTGATACTTTCTAAGATGTGATTTATGTGTTTCCCCCTTCCCTCACCCCTCCTTTTGGCTGGACTGCTTGCTTTTCCATCTCAGTAAAAGGACCTCAGGGCTTTTAAATTTATTTTTTCTCTGAACTTGTGATTTATATTGAGTTCGGCAACAAGAAATCTTGACTACTCTAGAACCATTGTTGTTATTTGCAAGCATCTCTTTAGTCTACGTACCTCTAACTCCATCGCTGGTTTCCCTTTGCTTCGATTACATAATGCGAGGAGGTCTATATAATAAATTCAGGATTCCTGTTTATGCACTTTTCAGCAAAGAGCTAGGGATCAAATAGGGTTTGAATCCTTCTATTCCCAGATAAAAATCTGTGACAGGGGTAAACTCACCCCTTTAAGTCATGTTAAAATATACACTATTCTTTGGGTAAAGCAGACCTTAATGAGGAAAGTAGAAAAATTAAAAACAATTGCTACAATTCTGTTTTATAATGGTCCTCTAGAATGAAATAACTTTTGGAAGCAACTTAAAAATTAGTCCAGTAATTAGCAGTTCAATGTGTCAATATATCCACTACCACCCAAATACTGGTATTTTTACACAGCTTATTATGTACATTAAGTTCCATTTTTTAAATGCTTTAAAACTTTTTTAGTAAGGGAAAGCTGCTGGAACAAGAAAAATTACATTATGAGGACATTTTTTCAGAATTCCATTTTGAAGCTTATAATGTGAGCACTACAATGTGTTTCAAATATTGAGTGCTTTTCAACCATTGCATTCACTTTATTCTTCTATTTTTCTAGAATAAGGATGACAATGAGTAGTCATATCTCAAGATTATCAGATTATATTAATAGACGAAAGATTTCTTTTGTTCACTTTAAGTGTAGGTCAACCTAAAAAGTGGCATCTCTTCCACCATGTTTTTAGAAATTAAATTCTAATAAACCAGCTATCATATGGCACCCCCTTAGGGGATCTCAAAGTAATCATTCTCTGCAAATACTGATTTCTTAAAGGATGAATTTCCATAGTAATGTTTCTTGCACTATACCATGAAGTCATGTGAAATAAAACGTGCCTTACCACATAAATTCAAAGCTCATTTTTGAAAAAAGTTTATTTTTTTTAATAGTTTTGTTTTTCCCTCATGTAAACAGAAACGGTCATGAAACCTTGAGGTGCCTGCTCTTTAGAAGCCATTAGGTCAACTTTTTAGAGTAGAGCTGTTTTGCATTGAGCAAATCCTGATAGTGACATTGTTATCAGACCTGTATCCAAGTCCTCTCATTTCACCTAAAGACATTTTTCTGGAGAACATAGTGGAGAAAAATAATTTCCTCTAAGCTTATCAAGAGTTTAATAACTTCAGACTTACAACAGTATATTATATGCTCTGGACTGGCATAATGAAAACTCATACCAAGTCTTCCCCATTTCTTCATCTTAAGTTCTAAATTTAGTTTTCTAAGCTGATTTTACATTTTGAAATATGAATTTATATCACTTCATTATCCAAAAAGGACCTCAAATCTGTTTTCCTAAAACTAGTATATTTGTGTATTTAGTATAAAAAGAACAAAGATTTGGGGAATCTAAAGACAGAAAAAGTATCCTAAACTTATTTCACATTTGAACTCTGGAAATAAACTGCTGCAACTAGGGAGAATGTCATATAAAAAGTTTAACAGAAGGAAAGGACTTGGGTCTTTGCATGTATTCCTGTAAACCTATGCAAGAAGACCATCAACTGCAAAGAGAATACCAAGTATTTCACTTCAGGTATTCAAGGGAGAAACTAGGAAATGTTATATAACCTGTACATCGAGGTTACCAATTACTCTTCCCCATCTTTTAATAAGTTTTATTTAAGATTGATCCCAGAATCCTAACATAACAACTGTTAAATATACAAGCATCAATTAATTTGGAATACCTATTAGAATCACTGGAACACATTTAGTTGGGCCCTTTTACTCTTCCACACAGCACATTCACATGGACAGACTAAGGAAAAGGAGATGAAATTTAAATCAGCATTTTTTTCTTTATTATACTTTTCCAAAATAAAGAATAAAGTACGTTGGAACCTTTTATTATTGTACTTGTCCATGACTGTCTCTTAACTAGGTACCTTTAGAAACTGCCAAATAATTTCTGATCATTAAGTATTAATTTCGTCTTCTCTGTAGGCTTTAACACTATTTACATCACACTTTTGTATATTCTAGCCATCTTTGTTAGTGGTGGTTTCATTTAAATTTTTTGGCTAATATCCATTTGTAGCAATGCTTCAAGTGCTTGCCACATACATTTTATTAGGCAAAACTGAT